CACAGCAGCATCAACTGGGCTGGCTATGGATGGGGGGAGGGAGAGGGTGGTTGCTTAGATACCTGGGGATTATGAAGGCAAAATTTGGTGCAGCTTTGGTGGTGAAGGATACAGGGGGTCTATGCAGGCTGTTTGCTTCCTTAGCAGTAAAAGCTTCCAGGGTTCTCTGTGGAGCAAGCCACTGGGTTCTTGATGGCAAACACTGTGGAGTCCTCAGCTATGAAATTTGTGTGTAGGGGGGTGCATGACAGCTAAAAGGGCTTATGGGATCCTCAGTGGAGAAGTCTGATGGAGTCCTGTGCAGAGCAGAACACTGAGTACCAGTGACTCCTGCTACTTGGCTGCTATTGATAGTCCCTACCTTATTCTTTGATCCTAGCTGTCTCCCGACATCTCAGCTATGCTAGTCTCCTTAGTGATCTGGATAGGGTTAAGTTGAAGCTGCTTTCGTGGGAAGTGCCCCAAAATGTTAAGGAAGCTAGTTGTTCACCCCACTCTTTGTTTCCCTGTGAAAGGGATTCACAACACAGGAGTTGCATATAGGTGCTCAGCACTGCCTGCCTGGAGGACATAGGGTGAGGCAGGCAAAATGATACTGTTATTCTTACCCTTTTTTACAGCTCTTCTCAGGATTTTATTTTTTCACTCTATTGCTGTAGCTTCTTAAGTAGGCTCCTGAGCTCTTCCAGTGTTATTTTCATTCATGGCCAACTGCCAAATACTTGCTCTTTGTGAGAGGAGGAAAGGCTGGGATCTCCTATACCACCATTTTGCTGACATCACCTTTCCAAATCTTAGCTTTCTTCATGGTGTCCTATAAATCCCGTAGACTTTTTTCATTCCTATTCTAACTTTTTCTTTGTTCTCCTCTGACAAGATATTTCGAAATAACCTGTGTCCAAGTTCACAGATTATTTCTTTGGCTAGATCAAGTCTGTGGTGTTCTCTCTCGCTCTCTCTCATTTTTCATTTTATTTACCAGCTCCAGAATTTCTGTTTGGTTCTTTTTTATAATTTCTATCTCTTTATTAAACTTTTTGTGGTGTTCATATATTGTTTTTCTGGTTTCATTGAGTTGTCTATCTGTTCTGTTGTAGCCTGCTGAGTTTCCTTAGAACAATTATTTGTAACTCTTTTTCAGGCAAATTGTAGATCTCCATTTCTTTGCACTAGTTACTTGAACTTATTGTGTTCCCTGCTAGTATCATGTTTCCTTGATTTTTCATGTTTCTTGTTGCCTTATGCTGATGCCTTTATATTTGATGGAGTAGTCATCTCTTTTGTACTTTATGGACTGATTTCCTTGGGGGAAGATCTTTACCTATGTGGATGGGAGTGCAATAGCTGGGTGGGGTGTGGTAGTTCCAGCCGTTGCAGGGGTATAAGCATAGTCTCCATGAAGTCCGTCAGCTGAGGTCAGCATTGGCAAAGATTTCAAGGGTCCTTAGGAGCCAAGGCTAAGAATGTTTACAGTGGCAGTGAGGGCTGTCTGAGTCTTCGGTGGCGAAATCCGCTGGAGTCCTCCTAATGTCTTTTTCTTTCATGGAGAAAGCTGTGGCTGAGCATATCCCTCTTAGTGTAAAATCTGGCTCATGGTTATACTTGTGGTGGTGGTGGTGACACCAACATTCGATGCATGGCGCCTGTGGAGTGGTCGAAAAGGGGGGCCTGGAACATGGGCATGCAAGGAGGGACCACAACTTGGAGTCTAGGGTGGCAGTGGCACCAGTGTGAGGGGCACAGGTGCCTCCACATCAGCACTGCTAATAATATGTAAAGCATGGGTGCTTTGGGAGAAGTTGGGGAACTATACCAGTTCTGAGGTTTGATGCATGGTTGTTTCCATTACAGTGGTGACTCTGGTGTCCTAAGTGCAGGTACTCATGGAGGGCTCACAGACCACTCCAAGATCTGGGGTATAAACACACCAGCTGCAGTAATGGCTCCAGTGTCAGTGGTGCAAGCATGTCCAGGCTGGTTTCAGAGATGGGGTCTAATGCGTGGGCATGCATGGAGCAACAGCAACTCTGAGGTCCAGGGTTTGCACCAGGTTGGGATGATGGTGGCCCCTGTCCTGGGACAGCACAACAGTATCTCCTTTTTGGGGGACTGGGTGCAGCAGAATCTCATTCTCCAGGAGATCCTTGGTGGCAGTGGCAGTTGGTTGCCCCAGTAGCAAAACTGCCAGTATCCTCTCCAGAGCAGGTTACTTGTGTCTGTGCAGACAAGCACTAAGACAACCTCCATTGTGAAAGCCACAGAAAGTCTGCAGGTGCCACAGGGGCTGTTGAAATCCTCAACAGTAAATGCTGCTAGAGGCCGCTGCAGAGCAAGCCACTGGGGACTGCAGTGGTACTCACCACATATCTGATACTAATAGCCCTCATCCTCCTTCCTTGTCCCTGGCTGTCTTTAGATGTCTCAGGTAGGCCAGTCTCCCTAGCAATCCTTTCTGTGCACTTACTCTGCATTTTTTGCGCCATTATGTTGCTATAGGTTCTTAGAATCATGATGCCTCCTAGAGCTATTTTTGTTTGTGGATAGCTGTCTAATTTTTTTTTTGGGGGGGTGGGGAACAAAAACTAGCATCTCCTACTTTGTCATCTTATTGATGTCACTCGTGATTTTGAAATTTGACAATTTGATTATAATGTATTTGTTGTGAACATTTTTCAGTTCATCATATCAGGGATTCATTGTGTTTCTTGAATCTGGATGTCCATTTCGTTTCTTAGATTTTGGAAATTTTCAGCCATTATTTCTTTAAATAAGTTTTCTTTCTCCTTGTCTATCTTTCTTCTCCTTCTTGGACTTCCATATGTATATTTCACCCGCTTGATGGTGTCCTAAAAGTCCTGTAGGCTTTCTTCACTTTTTCATTATTTTTAATGCTCCTCTAACTACATAATTTCAAATTACCTGTCTTTGAGCTCACTGATTTTTCTTCTTTGCTTGAACTCATCTGCTATTTACTTCCTCTAGTAAATTTTTCAGTTCAGTTATTGAATTACTGAATTCTTCAGCTCCAAATTTTCTGTTTGGTTCTTTTTATATTTTCTCTCTCTTTGTTGAGACTCTAATTTTGTTCATCCATCATTGAACATATTTAAGACAGTTATTTTGAATAATTTGTCAGGTATACCTCTGGTTCTTGAGGACCAGTTTCTGGAAACTTATTTTGTTCCTTCAGTTGGGATATTTTTCTCTGTTTGTTCATGTTCCTTGTAACTCTATGTTAGTATCAGTGTGTTTAAATAAAGGCTCCTCTCCCAATCTTTACATACTGGCTTTGCACAGGGAAAGATCTTCATCAATTAGCCTGGCTAGAGTTTATAGGGGCCTTTTATATGGATGTGTCTTTTCTGGATTTGTTCTTGTATATTCCTGTTTAGAGCAATTTGCCAGTCTCTTTTTCTTCGGGAGCATATAATTTCTTGTTCCATCTGGTATCTGTCCTCTGAAGCAGCAGCAGCACACCACCCAACCTTTTTTTGTTCTCGATGGCTCCCAGGAACCTAGTCGCATCGGCATTCTGAAACAGACAAGTCATAAGCCAGTCCCTTGGGCAGCCCCAACCCCCTGTAAAGTCAGAACATTCAATGTCTGGTCCAGATTTCTCTGCCCTTCCCCAGACAGAAGCAGGAGCTAGGTATTTCCTTCTGATCATATGATACTGTGCCACGGGGAAGACTATGGCAAGAGAGTGCCAAGAATTTTCCTACTGGCTTCAATGTATCTTGTTTCATGCTCTACTGTGCTACACAAGCCTCTTAACTGGTTTCTGGATTTCTCGCAAAAGGATTTGTTTCATGTACTGTTGTTGAATCAGTGTCTCCATTTGGTGGAAGGAGGTTCTAGGAGTTCCTGTTCTTACACCTTGCTGATGTAATCAGCACTAAGCATTCTGCCTTATTCATTCTCATTTATTGGATCATTCATCATTGCCTTGCACTGGTAATAAAATATTTTAAAACAACAATGAAAATGATAACTAAAGTATTATTGGCTAATTCTTATAGAACACTTTCCATGTGCTAGGCATTGATCTAAGGGCTTTACAGTGATTATTAATTTAAATTTAATAGAGGACAAAACTGAAGTACAAAAAGGTTAAGTAAATTGCCTGAAGTTATGCATCTGGATAAAGCTGTGATTCTAATCCAGGCCATCCATATCTACTGTTCATGTTCTCAAATTTTCTGTTATGTGTCATGATACTTAATACATATTTGCATAATGGCTTAGCAAGTTCCAACCTGAATCTTCCCTGTGTCCTCTTCTGTGTTTCACTGTTGAATCTGTTTTCAGGGACTGTGCTCGAACTTTTGCTTGCATCTCCCATGTCAATTTGAATTTTAAATTCCACACAACTTCCCATGCAGTGTGCCCCTCTCCTGTTTTATTCTACCAGGAAATTCTTCAATTTCTTTCCCAGTTTTTTATTTCAAATATAGTCAACCCTGATGTGAACACAGTCATTTGAAGTTTAAATGTCACTCGATTTATTTCAGATCATAGAAACCCATCTTGAGGCCCAATTATCTTTAATGAAACTGTAAAATGCTTTCATATCACTTAGCAAGTGGAAAGCTAAAGGGAAGTGATCAAATATCACCATGGAATAATAGTAGAAACAAAGGTTTTGTGATTGTTTCAGGGGTAGTCATTTTGTATATGGATTTATTTATGAATGCTTGAATTTTCATTCAGGGCTTTGAATTCTTTCAATTTTTATAGGGACAAAGTTTTTTTTGTCTGTACACCATAAATATAAGATGTGATTGAAAAAGAAACTTTAGGATTTCATTTTGTCACCTGAGAAGAATGATGCTTCTCAGTAATTTTAAAAATTCCTCCTCATTATTATTTAGTAAGCATTTAGCATTAATGTTAATTGTAGGCCTATTGAAAGAGGATTCAAACTCTATTCGTCAAGTTATCTTAAAGAAAATGAGATAATGATCTAATTTAATTGGTTGATATTTACACTTTTATTCCAGAAATTCTGAGTCCTTCACTGCATACTTCCTACCTGGCAGTGATTCGGAGTTTTTTGTAAGACCTCAAGCTGGAAAACTTCTTCCTAGTAACACAAAAGGAACTCTCATCATTGTAGGATTTAAACCCCGAATGTATAGCAGAAAATACAAAGCAACATTAGCAATAGAGGTGAGTTCTATAAAGGCAATAGTCAAGGAAATTTGATGTAACTAAAGGCATTAAATGAACTAGGAAGAAAAGGTTTTACCAAATGGCCACAGGTAAAGAATAACAATATTGCCTTATAAAAGTCAATTTATTTCAACTGCTCTGTTTTTTTATACTTTTCTTTTGTCTAATAACAGAATTTTAAGTATGGTATATAAAAGTAAGAGTGTCAACACTAGGGATAAGTAAAGAAATTATTTCCATTTCATATTAAGGAAATGTGGGAGAGATGAATGATGACTGTTAAGTGATTTGTATAGTCACATATCATTTTCTGTAATATACCTGTTCAACAACTTTGTGAACTTTAGCTTATTTGAGATAGAGATTTTTGAGCCTTTGATTAAGACAGAGTATTGTCAAAATGTTGAAGTCTAAAATGAAGAGAATGGAATAGAAGATGAAATTTATTTTGAATTTAAAAAGAAAACATGATGTAAAGTGGGCCATTAATATAGAAGTTTATTAACGTGATCATTTTATTCACAATTAAGGTAAATACAATTTTGAAAATTTATTCAGTAACCAAAATTTGTCTATAAATTTCACCAATCATTTATAGTAAGAACTTTCAGGCTAAAGACAACTTTCGAATTATTTCTGAAAAGATACCTATTACAACTATTTTCAGTAGCAGAGGCACAAAGAGCATGTTGTCACATTATAACACACAACTCCTAGTGCCAAAGTGATTTCTAGACTTCTGATTCAAGCAGTAATTAGGTAGTGCCATAGGCAAAAAAAAAATGTTGTTATTGTTTTCATGAACAGAGAAAATAAAATGTTGAATATGGTTTGAGAAAGTTATATGTATTTATCTATCTTTCTAAGAGTCCTTACAATATAGGAGGAAGAAGATGAAGCCTTTGTTGCCTTGCTGCACATACACTCTTGCCTTCATTGAAACTTGATTTAAAGTGACCATGTTATTATATTTGCTTGTTTACTCTAAGGGATTAAGTGACATCTTTAAAAAAGATTTGCAAATTAAAAATGATGTTCATTTTATCTAGCCTACAATGGACATTTCTGAAATTAACTGTTTAGGAGGCTTTACCAACAAAATCTGTGCCTGATTTCCCTGTCTTGATATAACAATTAAATTATTGGCAGCACAATTGAAAGTTTTACATGAGAGAATAACTTGATGTATGAGATCAACTGAGAATATGCCATCTCCAGTTAGTCTGAAGTAGAACAATTTGATAAAACTTATGTGGGTAAAATTGAGATTAAAACATGCACACTATTCTGGTGATGGGTACACTTAAAGCTCTGACTTAAGCATTATACAGTTCATCCATGTAACAAAAAACACTTGTACCCTCTTAATCTATTGAAATTTAAAAAAAGAAAAAAAGAATTGCTATTTTGTTCATTCCACTTTTATCATGGAAAATTCCAAATATGTGAAGAAATAGAGAATGATTAATCCCCAAGCACAAATCATCCAATATGAACACTTATCAACTCATGGCAAATCCTGCTTCACCTATATGCCTACTCCCTTCCTCACCTTCCATATTATTTTGAAGAAGATCCCAGACATTGTATTATTTGAAAATATTTCCTGCTAGTCTCTAAAAGACAAAAGTCATAAGTATGATACCATTATCACATCTAAAAATTAACACTATTTCTATAAGGTCAACACATATAAAATATTAATTTAGTGTTCAAATTTCCAGTTGACTCATGAATCTCATAATATTTTAACTTTAAAAATGGACTTATAAGAAGTTGCAAAAATAATACATAGAACCCCATGAAGTCTTCTCCCAATTTCCCCCAATGGTGACATCTTATATAACTTTAGGAAAATTTCAAAACAAGGAATCTGGCATTAGTAAAATAATTGTAACTAGAGTCTTCATTCCATTTTCTGCATTTTTCACAGGTGTGTGTGTGTGTGTGTGTGTGTGTGTGTGTGTGTGTGTGTGTTTCTAGGCAATTTGAACCCATGTATAGATGTATGTAACTCCAACCACAATCAACAAACAGAACTGTTCCATCACCATAGAGGAACTACCTTGTGCTAACCCTTTATAGACATGTCCAACACTGTAATTCCTGCCTACTCCTGACAATCACTAATCTCATCATTTCTAGAATATTATATAAATAGAATCATACACTATGTAACCTTTGAAATTGACTTTTTATGCTAAGTACAATGCCCTTGAGATTCATAAGAGTTATTGCATATATCAAACCAGCGATCTTAAAATCATTAATTCACATACTGTTTGACTCCAAAATTCAGTTCTTAATGACAACACCATGTGGACGCACATGATAAACATGAAGGCAATTTAAAAAGTTAAATCACTATCTAAATGAAAATTATTGTTTACATTATCATCTTTTTAAATTATTGATTTTAAGCATTAAGTCAATGTTTACAACACTACGATCTTCATTGTGTTTTACTTGGAAATAAAAATGATGGTTTTTAAGAATAGCATAATTAAATATTAGCCTAAACAAACCTCAACAATCATGTTAGAAAGCTTCATAATTTCCTATTCAATCAAATAACATTTATAGTGATTAAAAAGTGTATTCCCCCACCACCCAGTAAACAAGGCAAAGAACACTGTCTTTGAGGAAATAAAGTTAACTTATTCAGTTTGTTTTACAAAATGCAATGCTACTCAGAGTAGTAAATCTGCTCAACTTTCCATGGTAGACACAGTGAATCTTAAATAGTTCATAAAAATCTAAGAACTATCAGAATTATCCGAAGTAAAACATACGATGCTTTATCTTTATATTTATATACATTATTTACATATATTTTATATAATAACAAGTCATATATAAGATTATATATGATTGTTAGTTCATATATATTAATAATATATAAGTAACATTTACATATGGATGCCCCTGTTATAACTAGAAACATAACAAGACATTGGTGATATGTCTGTAAATTCATTGCTTTTAAAGGAAACCATCAGTAGCATGAAACTGTGGGAAATGGCATTGTAAACCTCTTGGTTTGTATTTCCTCAGAAGTAGATCTTGAAATAAGCATTCAAATCCAAGAAACATATTTGCTATGTGATCTCAAGATAAAGATGTAGGGAAGCCAGGATATGAGATAGAGTAGGAAAGGAAATCAATAAACAGTGTTTTATCAAGGCATCTGCCACAGTGAGCAACTGGAAATTAATCCCATGGAAGAGCTCCAGAAAATGGTGTGAAACACACACTTCAGAATTTTTCAAACCTAAGGGGACAAGGAAGTTGGGGTTCTTATACACCAAGTGCCACTGTTCTGATCACGGATTGAGGGAAGCTCCCAGGAATTGTTACAACTCTGGCACCAGCAAAGAAGCCTTCTGGGGTTTCTTAAGAATCTTGAGCCAAACAGGTGCAGGTACTGGTAATTAAAAGTTACCAGGAATAACCAGGGGCAGGAGTGAAATAGAAACACCTGTGGGATGAGGGTGGGAACAGACCACATCTGCTAATAGATAATTAGCAATTGTTTTCATTCTTAGAAATAGGCCCTAAAAATATAGCTTTGGTTATTTATTCCACGAGGTCATTGGCTTTGGCTGATCTCTTTTCCGAACAAAGAGACACTACCTAAATATGGAAATTTCATCTGTTTAAAAAATTAGTTTTTTGTTTCATTAAATAGCTGAGAAATGTAATTGTCGATGTGGCATTCTTTTGTAAAAATAAACAGACGACTGATTCTATGAAGCCTTAATAATATGGAAGTATTAATTTAGTCTTATATAATTTTAATTTCTGCTTTGTATTTATATTTTCAAAGGAAGATTGGGGATAGAAAATACTGAGCTATATATTTAAATGTTTTAGTAAAAATAAATGAGTAATTGCTTTTATTCACAATTAGATTGAAGAAATTTAACTATAGGTGAAAGAACTGTAATGCTTACTCTTTATTTTGTAAAATAAACCCTATTATTCTTCTTATTATATAGCATGTTGTAGCATGTTGGAATAAAGAACCTGAACAACTTCCACATAAATATATGGAAGTTCCATATATATTTGTATATATTGCCATATATGTGTATATATACATCCACAAACTCAGCATCACTTATTATAAAATTATTTAAATCTTAATTAAAATGCATACAATATAATTGGAACTTTTAAAATAGTGTTTTTATAGATAATTATTTTCAAAGGGTCTTGGATATAAGTGCCAAAAAAAGATATAAGCCCCTATTTGCAATTCTCATTTGTACCTACCAGGTGCTGGGTGGAGTGTAGATCCCATCATGTAGCTCATTCATGTGTACCCACTAAGCGCCAGTCATGGGAGCATGGCCCTTCATGTAGCTCAGACTTTAGTACCAAGTGCCAGGCATGGTACAGTTATTTCCATTTAAATCACTTAGTTTTACGCAGGAAGTGGATCAATGCACAAAATGCACAAAAATGGCATATACGCAGTCACCAAAATATAGCTTTTTTTTTTCAAATTAAACATCCTTATGTGAAGTAAGATGTTGTTTAACCCAGTTGTATTATGCTTCTTGGTTTGATCTGCTTTTGACTCATTGATTATGAATATATAATTACTATAAATACTAGATAAAAGGGCCAGATATGATTAAAACAAAGCTATGATAAATGTGCAAGAAATTCTTGCACTTAATATTCATTGATAGCTTTCATACTATATGTCAAGTCCAGTGATATTCACTTAGTCTGGACTTATCCTGAATGACTTTTTATCTGAGCACACATGGTTCAAATCTTAGTGTGAGGAAGAAGGCCTTTATAAGCAAAGGTGGCATCAGGAATTTTTGCAAAAACAATAGGACTTAGGTATATATAAATATACAGAAAATGCTAGACTGCCTAATTCAATATGGCCTAACCGTGCATATGTGTAGAAGAAATGAAGAATTTTTAAATAAATCCCTTTATAAGTTGTACTCACTTGAATTTAGATTACGATTTTCATTGATGATCTTACACCACTCTTGGCATATTAAAATGGTTATGTATATTATGAATTTTCATAAAGAAGCAGCTCAACATATTTTACCAGTCATTTCTATAGCTACATTTAAATTCCCATGAATGAGTTTATCTTGAAAGGTATTGTTTTCATCAGTTTTAGTCCATGCTAGATAATAGTCTTATGCAAACCAAATAAATTGCTTTCCTTTATATCAGACAAATGCTTATTCTACGGGCAAACCTCTAACTTGTTTTTTAGTGAATAATTCTTAACTCATAATGCTAAATTCTTTGTTTAATTTATTTTCTACATTAATTGTGTGTCACTATATGTGGTTTCAATTCTGTATCTTTCTCATACCCTACATGGAGAAGAGAAGGTGTTAATTATGGTAAACTGTTCCCTCCTACATTTTTCTAAGTCCATGGATATTTCATACAAAATTTCTCCTTCTCTTTATTTCCAGACAGCGGATATGTACTGGTTGTATGATATCAATGGATTACCTCATTCAGGCATGCCACTGATGAATGTAAAAGCCAAAATTGATGCTACTAATGAGATATATGACCAAAAGCCAGTTCGTCAGCACAATTTTATCCGTGAAAATGCTAAACTCTTAAGTACAGGAGTGTCTTCTACCATCAAAGGTGCTCCTCTGGTGATGAAAAATAAATAAAAATTTTCCTAAAATATTTCTTGGTCTCAAGTAGAATTTTCATGATTTTTATCTCCTCTTTTGGAATATTTCTGAGACATAATGTTTTAATTATAATAGGCCTTCTGTATTTTCTTGTCTGTTAAAATGTGACTTAATATAGTCCCTGAATATGTCATATATCATTTCTGAGTTATGTGTATTTTTTAAAAAATGGGCTTTGGTTACAAATATTGGGATCGATTCACTTTTAAAGTGCCCGAGTACATTTGTCATAAAACTGAAACATAATTTCAATGACAACAATATTTCTAATACCAGTGTTGCTATTAAAGCTAAATTTCTATTCTATCATAGATGTTGCTTATTAGTCTTTATTTTTTAATTGACAACTAAAAATTGTATATATTTATGGTATGCAACATGATGTTTTGAAATATGTATACATTGTAGAATGGCTAACATGAGCTAATTAATACATTCATTGCCTCACTTTTTTTCTTTTTTGGTAAGAACACAAAATATGCTGTCTTAGCAATTTTCAAGTATATAGAACATTGTTGTTAAGTATAGTTACTATGTTGTACAAGTGATATCTTGAACTTAATTCATCTTACCTAAAATTTTCTATCCTTTGACCAACATCTCTCAAGCCTCCCTGTCTCTTTAGCCCCTGGGAATCAGCATTCTACTCTCTGCTTCCAATAAGTTCATCTTTTTTAGATTCCACATATAAGTGAGATCATGCAGTATTTGTCTTTGTGTGCCTGGCTTATTTTATGTTACATAATGTCTTTCAGGTTCATATATGTTATCATGAATGGAAGGATTTCCTTTTTTAAAATTAAGGTTGAAGAGTATTCCATTTTGTATATATTTCAAATACCAGTGTTGCTATTACAGCTCAATCTCTCAAATAGATGCTGCTTGTGAGTCTTTTAAAAGTTAATGATAGTGCCCATCAATACATGAGTGGATTAATAAAATGTGGTATATGTATACCTTGAAGCATTATTCAGCTATAAGGAACAACGGTGATATAGCACCTCTTGTATTTTCCTGGATAGAGCTGGAACCCATTCTATTAAGTGAAGTATCCCAAGAATGGAAAAACAAGCACCACATGTACTCACCAGCAAATTGGTTTCACTGATCAACACCTAAGTGGACATATAGGAATAACATTTATTGGGTGTTGGGCAGATGGGGGGGAGGAGAGGATGGGTATATACATATATAATGAGTGTGACACACACCATCTGGGGGATGGACATGCTTGAAGCTCTGACTCCAGGGGTGAAGGGGGGTAGGCGACACACGTAACCTAAACATTTGTGTCCCCATAATATGCTGAAATAAAAAATAAATAAAAAGTTAATGATAAAATTAGGATATAAAACTGGATTTACCATTTCTTATACCCACTACTTGGATATTCTGTGCTATTTAATAAGTAATTAATTTAAAAATCTTTGTACATATGTGTATGTAGTCTGTATGCTCCTATATGGCACTCTTTAAATAATTTAGATCTACCTCAAAATGATCCAGGAGAAAGTTCATTTCATGTGTCTGATCCTTTTGAATGATTGCTTTTATTTGCAGTTGGATCAGTCAAAGTAAAGGAGGGAGGGTGTATTGCTTAGGACCTCACATAAAAGGGAAATATAATAAATAGTCAATATGGGCCAGTTTTAAGACATTTTGATTTAAAATGACTGACTCTGCTGCAAAACATTTATGTACTCTTAAGCAAATGGCCTAACCCTTTTTGTACCCTATTTTCTTGTGTGCAAAATGAAGGAACTGTTCTAGGACAGGAGTTGGCCAACTATGACCTGTATGACAAATTTCATCTCTCATCTATTTTTATATAGCCCACTAGCTAGAAATAATGTTTACACTTTTAAATGGTTGGAAAAACTTTCTTGTGACACAAGAAAGTTACATGAAATTTAAATTTCATTGCCTATAAATATTTATTGGAACATGGTACAATCATTTCTTTATATATTGTGTATGACTGCTTTTATGCTACAACAGCGAAGTTGAGTAGATAGAAACCACTTAGCTACCTACCTTAAACTATTTATTCTCTGTCTCTTTACAGAAAAAGTTTAGCAACCTCTGTATTAGGTCAAGAATGGCCTTTAGGAACCACTGTGAATCTATTAATTGTAATTGCATTATATGGTGTTAAGCAGAATTCTGGAACATGTGGGATTAATTAGTATTGTCTGCAGCAATTGAGGGAGAGGGGAGTGGAAGTCCATTTACCCTGGATTTGCCATCCCTGGAAAGGATAAGAGCTAAAATTCTATTAATTTCCAGAAGTTTTTCTCATATTTAGACCCCCTAAAGATTATATTTTTGAGCATGGAGTAATAGATCATTTGTCCTTTCCTCTGCTGTATTGTGAATTGGATGGGTTGGGGGATGGTCAGTCTCTGAAAATATTTCTCACAAAGCCTTCATAAAACCTTTCAAATCCCTTAAGAAAGTAAAATCATCTTTTCCATGAATATACTTAGAGATCTAATTGCTTTTATATTTTGGTATTTATGAAAACAGATAATATTTAAATAATACTAAGTTTTTATATTGAGTCTTCTGAGAATCATGACTGCTGTCCTAACTGACATGCTCCAATAATTTAAATTAAAGTGCCTAGAATGGAATGCATTTGGATTTGACATAGAGAAGGAAGTGAAGATGAGATACTGGGAGACATGCTATTAGCTATTTAATGTTGTGATTATTTCAAAAATACTTAAAATTGTGATGCTAAATTGTCGTGTTTTAAATCTTATCCTGTATGTTATCTTCTTAGGAAGAAGTGTCCTTAATTTGAAATTTCAGTGCAAAATTATTATTTGTCCAAAGGAAAGTAGGGTGGGGACAACTCAAGTAGACAAAACTGAATAGTGAATAAAACTCTAAGACTCGTGAGAGAATATATTTTGCTCATACATGTTTAAGCATCACAAGGAGAACTCAGGGAGGTGCCCTGCCCATTTCCCCATGGCAGCCACTTTTTCCAGGTAGAGTAAAGGCTTTCTGCTGCAAGCACATGTGATTCTTTGTCTCTGGACTTTCTCTGGCCATACGAGCATACTCGACCTGAAAGGGCAGAGTCTGGCTGAAAATGCCAGGGAGTTAGTGCCCCTGGGAACAGCACTTAATCAAAAATGGATCAATAATAGACAAATGGAATTCCATAATATTACTACATCCTTGCGCTTAGGGTAGGATGACTCTAGGGTGTTTTCTCTATGTTCTACCCAAATTCCTTAGTAGGATTGAGCTTCTCTTGCCTACAGTGGTAACTTTCTCAATAGTTGATCCTAGATTAGCTTTCTTCCCTTCCCCATTTCTTTATGGTGTCTCCTGCAGTCACCTCCCAAATAAACTATCTACGTTAAAAGTTTTTCTCAAGGCCTGATATGGAAGGTACCAACCTAAGGCACTCCTGAACCTTGACTTTCAAAAACAATATAAACAACTCTTTTTCCTACAAAAGCAATGGATACAATGGGCTCTGGATCAATGATTTTAGTTGATTTACAGTAGCCCTCACACTCATCCATTATATTGCATTCCTAGATTTCCAAGGAGTTTGCCTTATGCATAAAGACTTAGCAGCAACTGAATCAAGAAAGGAACAGAAATAGTTAATTAAAAGTAAAACTTGGTAAATATGAGCCACTATATTCATTAAAGGAGTAAAGTCATACATAATCCAAAAAAATGAAGAGATCATAAATTTTCGTGGTGTAAGGGACCATAATTATTGTTTAAAACTGTTTCAGGATGTTTGAACCAGTGTCTACTTGTACTTTCTGCACATTTCCCCAAAACAACCTAGGGTACTCAAAATTATTCTATTCCTTTTTTAGCTACACTCAGAGATGCTCAATACATGTTTGTTAATATTGACGATGGCATTTTTCCAGTGAAAAACATATAGAAATTAAGGGCTTATCCAGCATTTCCCAAATTCACAATATCTATCACCTGTATTTATTAAACGCTACAAGTTTCACTGCTGTAGTATCATATCAAATAAGACAACCAAGAAATGTCATTAAATGATTTAAGGTTGTCCCAGGGCCTTTGTGACACCTTGTGACGTATTTTCAGAGATTTCCTACATAACATGAATATAAAATGATACATAGAATATCTGAATTGAAAGCATCTTTGAATATCATGGTCTGAATCTGTAATTTATCACAGAAATTTGCAAATTTTATTTATTCTTTTTATTTGATAGAAAACTTCTATCAAAGAAAATTGTATATGAAACCCAGTAACACACAGTTAGTTGTGAAATTAAATCTATCCAAAAGAAGTCATTATATCAAAATGATACCTGCATTCATAATGTTTATCACAGCAAAATTCACAATTGCAAAGATATGGAATCAACCTACGTGTTCATCAACAGATGATTGGATAAAGAAAATGTGATGTATATATATGTGTGTGTGTGTGTGTGTACACACACATCATGGACTACTACTCAGCCATAAAAAAGAATAAAATCATGTCTTTTGCAGCAACATGGATGGAACTTGAGGCCATTATCTGAAGTGCAATAGCTCAGAAGCAGAAAATTAAATACCACATGCTCTCACAAGTGAGAGCTAAATAATGTGTACACATGGACATAGAGAGTGAAATAATGGACATTGGAGACTTAGAAGGGTGAGAGGGTAGGAGAGGGTGTGTGGTGAAAAATAACTTATGGGCACAATGTACACAATTTGGGTGATTGTTACACTAAAAGCCCAGACTTCACCTCTACACACTATATCCATGCAACAAAACTGCACTTGTATCCTCTAAATATATAAAAATTTTAAAAAAGAATAAAGTTTTTAAAAAAATTATAGATACCCACTCATGAGCCTCTCCTTTAATCCAACTTGATTCTTAAGACACTTGATGGAACCATGCCCTCCACAATTTTAAAGCCACAGACTTAATAAGTGATCTGCAGATTTTCTATTTTTCTCTTCTGATTACTTTTTGCCA